TTGTAGATTTTGAGTAGCTACTAATACTAATCTTTGAGTTTTGGTGATTACATTAGCCGTTACAAAAAAATATTACCATATATCTTACACGTTTTATTAGTTTACGGATACAAACAATGTATTTTAATAACTGATAAATTAGTTGTGTTCGTGAAAGAAATAATAATTATTCCATCATCTATGTTAAACAAATTTATTCTTTTGTCACTAGTCATAGAGCCAAAATCTTTTGTTGAACAAGTTGAGTTTCCATTTACTCTTTTCCCAAATGTACTTCATGCCCACATGACTAGCAAACCAAATCAATTCCAAAATTTCTCAACCAAGAAGGTTCTTTTTCCTTGGATCTCTTACTTGAATTCTCCAATGCTTTTCAGGTAAACCATTGAGCTTAGCGATTTTCCTCCACCTCTCAATGTTCTTATCCATCTTACGACTCAAACCACAATAACCTCTCAACTTCTTCGGCATCTTGTCATATACTTTCCACCATCTCTCATTTACCGACTCGCTTGCATACACACGCCGCGTTTTCAAGTCCCAATTACAATCATAGTCTCTATAACATAGCCATGGCTTTAGCCCCAAGAAATGTATCCCCTCTAAATTGTCCGGAAGGTGGCGGTTTTTGTCCTTGTTGATTTCTTTACCAAAGTATTTCATCGTGTTCACACGTTTCGATAACCTATGCCACCACACAAAAACTTCGTTCAAAAATCCTTGGTCTCCCCCGTTGTAAGACTCGATCTTGAATGATTTGAGCATCAAATCCTCGAACAGACAAGACGATGGCTCAAGAACCTGAAGAGAATAAGTGTTTAATGTAAATTCAGGGTTTCTTAGATAAAATTATATGGTAAATAAAGATAAAAAATTTACGCACAAAAATTGGTCCAAAACATTAATCCTAAGTCAGCAATGGATTGACCTAAACATGAGTCGTCGTGGTACCATCTAGATTTAAACTCCATAAAATGAAAGTTGTTGACAAGAAAAATTGTGTAAGCAATTGATTATTTTCCGCACAAGCCAATCTTTAGAAACTTGAATTTGAGAATTTCTAACTTAAATCCAAAAATTTTAACTCAAGCCAACCAATTCAGAATAAACAGTGTAAAACTTAGAAAAAAAATATGTTATTTATGACGTTCATTACCATGACTCCGGAGTTGAACAAGACTCTGTTATTACCAGCGGCCGAAAGTTGAGGATAGGAGAAAAGATAATCGATATTCTTGGCAATGATGAAATCTGCGTCTATGAACACTAGCTTATCGTAGTCAGTGACTTGCCACACACGTAACTTACTATAGTTCCACTCATTGTAAGAACCTTTCTTGGAGAAAGGGCTACGGATTCTCTCTATACGCCGTAGTTTCCAACCCGCGAGGCTTAGGCCAATGCGAGATTTATTTGTTATAGAGTCGTCGTGGAGGAGTATCATGTCTTGCCTCGAGCCAGATTGCCTTATGCTTTGTGCTAGGGCTATTGCTCCGCATACGTAGACCTCCGATGAATGGAGTACCGTCACGTAAGCGACACGTTGAGAACCGAATGATGATGATAACGCCATTTTGGATGTGAGACTTTCGTTCCTGTGTTGTCTCCATACTTCTTGACCTCTAGCAACTAATGAGAAAACTAGTTAGGAAAAATGTACGAGAAAAATAGTTGAAAAGCAAATAGAATAAAAAAAAAAAAAGAGGAAGAGTTAGCAATTTAGATGAGAGTATAAGGGATGAAATTATTATCCGGGATCCGAGATCCGATCCGTTATCCGTTCGGAATCGCTCTGAAAATTAGGATATCCGGGGAGCCCGGATCGGGATAAGGATAGTAAAATTTAGGATCCGTGAAAAGA